AAAATTTAAAAATCACATTGCACAAATTAAAATTTTAGGGATCGCATTACACATTGGGTTATAATTTAAAGATCACATGTTAGGCCAAAGTTAAGACACCATATATGTCATTTTTCCATATTATATTATTTGTCTTGTTATACCTAAATGTATTCCATTTTTGATAGATTCTAATCTAATATAATCTGATCGAATTCTTTCTTTCTTTTTTTGATTGAAAGTTTGTAGGCGATTATTTAAGATTATATTAAATGTCCAATTGTTGATGGGAAATTCAACTCTTGCTATTTGTTCTTTTTTTCTCTTTTGTCAATTTCAAAACCAAATTTAAAAGTTCGATTCTAATTAAAATCCTTCAAGACTAATATGAATGTTTATGCACCCACGCGATCAAATAATTGGAGATGATTAGTTTTTGAAAAGAATGTGCAAATGTTCATCGCGTGGCATTCTCAAATATAATTGAAATAAGTATATGTATCCCGTCTTAAAGTTGATTTAATGTAACTAAACACAACAATATACTTGTGATATGTGGTTGCTCGTGAATGAAAAATGTTATGTGATTCAATTCATTCTTAGCTAAATATATAGCTTTAGTTAAATAAAAAGTAAATAATTAAAGAATTTATATCATTTAGGAATTCGTTAAGGAATTATGATTAAAAAAACTCTATCCTTCAAGAACATATTTGAGGTACTTTCTCTTATCCATTTTTTTGAAATTTAACCTCAATACAAATGGTTGATGATAGTAAAGGCACTGATTTATCAATCAAGGAAGAAGAATCTGGAGATTCTAGAGATGATAAATTCGCTCACTGATAATAAATTCTTCTTCATATGAGGAACAAGTAGAACATTTTTTAAGTCAATGCTATTTTGCCCCAAATTGATATGAGCATCACCGAAATGGGAAATTTTAAGCGAATCACCATTTTCAATCATAACGCTATCTTTCCCAATATATGGTCGTAAGTTGAAAAGGTTACCTTCATCTCTGGTCATGTGATTTGAAGCTCTAGTATCAGTGAACCATTCTGAATCCTGACTATCTCCAACAGTAAGCGCAGCAAATGCCTTTGGCACATCCGCAACCAACGACAATCCGTCATCTGCAAAATAAAGGCGATATTATTGTTACTACTTGGAATAAACCTACTACGATATGTAGTAGTTGTCAAATGGGTCGAGCATCTAAACTTCCTTTTTTGCCTTCCAAATCTAGTACTACTAAGCCTTTTGAAACGATACATTGTGATTTGTGGGGAAAGGCTCCAATAATCTCATTTCAAAGGTTTCAGTATTATGTTTGCTTTGTGGATGATTATACGCGATATACTTGGTTGTTTCCATTACGGCAAAAATCTGACTTTTTTGCATGTTTTCTCAATTTTAAGAAATATTTGGAAAGGCAATTTGAAAGGCATATTAAAATCTTTCAATCTGATGGAGGAGGAGAGTTCAATCGAGCAGATTTCTTAATTCATTTGCAAAAGAATGGCATTATTAATCAAGTATCTTGCCCAAATACTGTGGAGCAGAATGGAGTTGCCGAGCGAAAACATAGGCACATATGTGAAATTGGCTTGACTATACTTCATCAAAGTGGAATTCCTAAAAAATATTGGGTCGAAGGCTTCCAAACAGCAGTTTTTCTCTTGAATCGGCTTCCAACAAGGGTGTTGGGCATGAAATCACCCTATGAATTTTTATTTGGCAAAAAACCCGATTATAATTCTTTGCGAGTTTTTGGTTGTAGGTGCTTTCCTTATCTTAGGGACTACACCAAAAATAAGTTCGATGCTCGATCTTTGCCATATGTATTTCTCAGCTATAGTGATCGCCATAAGGGATATCGATGTCTCTATCCTCCAACTGGTCGAATCTATATATCACGACACGTCGTTTTTGATGAGACAGTATTTCCTTATATCGTGCCCAGCTCATTATTTCAGGATCAAAGTGATAAAGCAGAGATATCTGAATTTATAAGCTGGCCAAATCATGACACGACAACATCAGACTCGGAAATTTCACCTTTGTATTTGCAACAGGGTGCGTTGTCTGTTAATCTTGATCAACCGCATGATGACTTATTAAATTTTGCTACTAATGATACTTCTCACGAAGACAACATTGAGGAAGGTGAAACACATGTTCATCAAAATCATGTTGAAAGTGGTGACTCATCGAGTGCTCTGCTTGATTCTCCATGCAATTTGGAAAATGAAGATTCCTCTATGGATGTCCTTCATGATTCTTCAATAGCACATTCATCCACTCAAAATCATGAGATGATTACTCGAGCACGTGCTGGTATTGTGAAGCCTAATCCAAAATATGCCAATTTACATATGATGGATTCTATACCGAAGGAGCCGAACAATGTACGTTATGCTTTGAAGCATCTAGGGTGGTCGACAGCAATGAAAGAGGAACTCGAGGCACTACATCGGAATAAAACTTGGACTCTTGTTCCACGTCCTTCAAATACTAATGTTGTGGGATGTAGATGGGTTTTTAAGTCTAAGTTAAAGGCCAATGGGACATTAGAAAGATTAAAAGCAAGATTGGTCGCCAAGGGATATACTCAAGTAGCAGGAGTAGATTTCCTTGAGACTTTCTCGCCAGTTGTTCGACTAGGAAGTATAAGAACGGTCCTCACCATTGCTACTGTTAAAGGTTGGCCCATCAAACAATTAGACGTTAAAAATGCCTTCTTACATGGTTTTCTATCGCAACCTGTTTATATGGAGCAACCGCCAGGTTTTGAAGACAAAAATCACCCTTCTTATGTATGCAAACTAGAGAGAGCTTTATATGGTCTCAAGCAAGCACCAAGAGCATGGTTTGATCGCTTTAGCTCATTTCTTTTGGCATCCGGTTTCTTTTGTAGCATTGCGGATCCTTCTTTATTAATTCAAAAATCAACTCATGGCATTTTAGCTCTACTTTTATATGTAGATGACATGATTGTTACTGGTGACGATCCAAAATTGCTTGATAAGTTCATCTCTACACTGAGTAGCGAATTCGCTATGAAGGATATGGGGCCATTATACTATTTTCTAGGTGTGGAGGTTAGGATATTCTCTGGTGGCCTTTATTTGTGCCAACAACAATATGCTTTGTCAATTCTCAAATGTGCACAAATGGAGGGCTGCAAACTAGTTTCCACACCTATGGCTGCTAGTTCTCAATCTAGTTCAGATGCAAGATTATTTTGGGATCCTACACTATATCGAAGTATCGTCGGAGCTCTTCAATATCTCACGATTACACGGCCGGATATTTCATATGCAGTCAATTTTGTCTGTCAATTCATTCATCAACCTACTGTGAGTCATTTTCAAATTGTGAAGCGTATTTTACGTTATGTCAGCGGCACAACAGATCGAGGCATGCAAATCTTGTCCAAGTCAACCTTGGACTTGTATGCTTTTTGTGATGCAGATTGGGCAGGTTGTCACTTGACTCGACGATCGACTACTGGATTTTGTACTTTCTTAGGTAGCAACTGTATATCATGGAGTGCTAAAAAGCAACGAACAGTTGCTCGATCTAGTGCCGAGGCAGAGTATCATGCAATGGCCTCGATAGCTGCAGAGATTACATGGATATCATTCCTTTTGAGAGATTTGGGTATTCATCTCTCTAGTCCACCGATATTATTTTGTGATAATATCAGTGCACTTTACATGTCGATTAATCAAGTATTTCATGCAAGAACTAAACATATCGAATTGGATTATCATTACGTGCGCGAAAAGGTGGCTCTTGGAACACTTGTGACTAAGTATGTTCCGTCTGTGCATCAAATTGCTGATCTCTTCACGAAACCATTGTCTAGAAATGCATTTGGAAATTTATGTCGCAAATTGGGAATTTGGGATTCTCCTATTCCCAATTTGAGAGGGAGTAGAGGCACTGATTTATCAATCAAGGAAGAAGAATCTGGAGATTCTAAAGATATCAATCAAAATCACGAGATGATTCATGGAGATGCTAGAATCAAGCGATTGACAACTCTTGTAATATAATGATTTTTTCATTTATTATTTTTCATTGTTGTATTGTTTCCTTACGAAGTGTAACTTTTGTAATATCTATATATAATGAAAATCATCTCAACAATGGTACGTTGAGATCAAGAATCAAACTCCTTTGTTCTTTTAGATAGTAAATCAATAAACTGATTATCACAAGTCAAATATGGCCACATGACAAAACCACGACATGTGTCTTGCCATGTAGCCACATTAATTAAAAACTATAAACCAATTACCTAAAAATCTTTCAATATATAATTTCTTTAATTTTATCTATTTTATTGGTTGGATACATTCGATCATACTTTCTTTCGAATTTAATGAGTGATAGAAAAGCGAGGTTGATAAATCACTAAATTGATGCTATCCGTCGAAAAATGGGCCATGTGGCACGGTTATGTAATGTGACTTGCTATGTGGCATTAAAGTTAAGTGCCAAATGGCCAGTACCGGAGCGAATATTCTCTCAACCCCGACTTTAACTATATAATTGATGAATAGGGATAAATTATAAGAACCGTTTTTATATTTTTAAAGAATATGTTAAATTTAAATTTACGAATTCAAGGAAATCATCTCGAATTTAATTTGATTACTTGTAAAGGATTAGAAGCACGTGAGTATGTTTTGACAAGTGAAAAGTCAACTGCATTTTCAATTGATCTTATTTTCCTTTGATCGATTTTATAGGTCTGATTACTAGACCTGTCAAAAAAAAAAACTGGTGGGTCAGATCGAATTTGAATTAGATCGAAAATTGTCCGATCCAAATAAACCCATTTAATCCGTTTAGATTTATTTTCATGTGATGAAAATCTAATGACCCATTTCCAATTCGAACTATACCTAAATTATGAAATGGATTTATGATTCATTTTGACAGGTGTACTGATTGCCCACCCTCGATCAGTCGATGTGCTCAACTATGAAAGATGAGTCTTGGAACCCGGTTCGTTAGATGTCCAACTCAGCAGTCGCAAGAACTCACCGTCGACCCCCAAACCTAGTCGCTGGGCACCATCACAAGAGGCGCAAGAACTGTCTAAACGCGGTCGACCTTTCCAATTCGAAGGGATTTAATCAAACAGTTGGTGTGCATCGCACCGAAACGTTCGGCGACGCCATGAGGGGGAACAAAGCGACGGCGCTAACAGTCGCGGAGAAGTGCAAGGTACTCTCTTCCTTCTTTCTTTCTTTCCTTCCTTCCTTCCTTGGAGCCGTCTTACGCATACACCTCCGGCGTCAAGCTTAGATACGTGCAATCGTTCGTGGGTACCCATGCACTCGTGCAACTAAAATCCTCGTATTGGACGATGCCCACTATTCTTTCTTTCTGTTCCTGCAGAATATATTAGCGTCGAACTGGCAAGGCCACCTTAGTACCATCAAAGCCGACTCCAAAGGAAGGTGCTTCTTCTTCTTCTTCTTTTCTCATGTTTCTTGGCCTTTTTTGTTTGTTTGTTTGTTTGTTTTCTTGATGATTTTTTGAACAACACAAGAAGTAAACAAGAATTTGGCCCATCCAAACAAGATATGTTTATGCATTGTTTGAGTTGGATTTGTTTGTCACTCTCGGCTTGGTTGTGACAGCAAGGGGGACATACACAGTTCGAAAGTTAAGTACATGGTCAAGAGAGGGAAACCATACATTTGGGTTCCAGAGACTGATATGCACAATGTGGTAAGCTTCTTACTGTGCTTGGGAGGTGTTATTTATCGAGATAATTGCGATTTTGAAGGGGTTCCCTTTGTTGCTTGTCCCCTTTTTGCTTCGCGATTCTGAAGTAAAGTAAAGATAGCTGCCAAAGATTTGTGGCATTTTGTTGTACTTATATTCTGGACGAGGTGATATGTTGCTCCTTTGGTATCCCTGGTAAAGCAGGCTGAATTTTGTTCTCTTGAATGTGAGAATTGTTTCTCCTGTTGCACAAATCGCCATGAAAATTCACCTGCAAGTAACTTCACAAAGACTTGTTAGTCTTATACTTGGTCTTCTTAAGGGATGTGTCTGTTGGAATCTGTGGCAACGAATGTCTGCAAGCTAGGTGAAGAGTCTCATTTTATGTGTAAACTATAAGTGCAATATCTGATGCACTCGACTTGTTTTTCAATTTTCTATTTCCAAGAGTAGACAGAGTCAGGACAAACTGTTAATCCATGTTGCCCTGAACACAACCTGTGATGAAGCATGTCGGAAACCCTGCTGATTCTAGCAACACTCAAATATTTATGACTTTAAAGGCAACATGGTGAACAGTAACACTGTTATTTCAGTTTTCCATCTTTTAGAAGAATTTGCAAAAGTAAGCTGTTCAGAAAAGTATTGATGGAAGACTGGCTGCTATATTGCATGTCAAGTGTGAATATGAAGTAAAGGAGACATTTACTATATTCCAAAAGGCAAGGAAGCCAAGTTATTCTTCAAATTGTTTGTGAAGACTTGGGAACTATTTTGCTATTAAAGAGAACATAAATGTGTCTCCTTTTGGTCTGGTAAAAGGAAAAACAATCAACTGGAGCTTCAAATCTCAGTGCCACCTCTATTTTCACATCCTCTTTTAGACACATGGACTATGAGTGGATAAGCAACAATGCTTTATTTTGTACTGCGTAGACTTAAACAAGTTCTTTTGTGTATGTAGTTTAAGTCACTGTTTTATTAACTCAAACAATTACGTTATTTCAAGAAATGCTTGATTACATAGATGACCAATAAAATGTTGACTGTTAACCCTCGTAGCATATCTAATATTTTGATCACAGTGAATGTAACTGTTTTTTTAAGAACCAAATAGGACATAAGAGAGTGTTTAGCTCTCTCTCTCTCTCTCTCTCTCTCTCTCTCAAACAAATGCATTTTGTCCTGTTCTTCTGTCAAATGATCTTGTTGGCATTGATGATCATCTTTTAGCCTCATGTCTGTAGAAGATTAAAGCAGTTGCAATCGGGACTGCTAGTGGGCTTGTCCTTGATGAAGCTAACTATTCTATCTTCCCCTAAAGACTACGCCCTCGTCTCTAACTATTCATAAAGCTGCCTGTGGCTTAACATCTTGTGTAAACCTAAAAAGTGATGTGGTTCTTAAGTCATCTAATCAATGTTGACATGGTAAAATAGACACTTCTTTCACTTCTTTTTCGGGGATCCACTGCAGTATGAGTCCTAGTAAATCAGCTTCTCCTAGTATGCCTGTATTTGTGAAGTTCATCCTTTTTCAGGGAAGGAATAATAATTAGATTTTCATTTCTCGTAATCATTACTCCCCTGTACATCTCTTCGATAGTGTTTGAGGTTATTCAATTGTGGCTGCACTAAGAATGTCTATGTCACTTAATGTTGCACTAATTTATTTCCTTAGTAAATTGGTCAATTTTTCAGCTTCCCCCTTTCTCTATGCTTTTATCATGGTTAATCTCTCCGATGTTGCACAATCTGTAAACTGCAACCATGTGAAGAAACAAATTGAGTCGGTCTATCCTTTAGGCAGCAATGGGAACTGGGAAGAGCTAAACTCTCTTGCCACAATGATAGCAATATTTCCAACCTCTTTGGCTGGAACATGTTTATGTTCTTGTATCTTGGTACTTCTACCTTATCCACAAAGTCAAGCATTGACTGAACTTAGTTGTTCCCCATATTTAAGATTTGGAATGTACAAGCTGGAAGTTTTTATTTTGATGAGTATGCTGTGCTCCATGTGCTTGGGTGTTGCTTATTATTCACTTTCCTATTGGTAGAACACAGTAATTGATGAGCGTGGCTCGTTGGCGGTAGCAACACCTTTCCCAGGTCCACTGGCCAATCTACTCAAGTCCCTAAAAAAGGTTGGTGCTTATGTGGATATGAATTCCCAACAAGTATTAAATGTGTTTATTATATCAATCATCTGCTCTAGATAGAGGGCAACATGATAATATTTCTTCATGGACATGCTGCAGTTTCCCTCTCGGATTGCTCTGACCGGAGATGTTCTTCCTCTTAAGGACCAAAAGGTGAAGATTATTAAACAGAATTTTGATAATTTTGGAATGTAATTTCTCTGCTTCAAATTGGTTGTGTTGATTATGGTAGTGGTTGAATTTCTTCATATCTTTATCAAATTCATATCTTCGTATAATCAGGTGGGCCTCTGTCTGAAGGATTGATATCAGTCTCTTGACTATTGTGCTTGAGAGCAGATCTTTATCTAGTATTCAGCCTTGCAACCTTCAATATATATTGAGTCAGTATCTAGAATTTACAAAAGTAAATCTGGCCATTAATAGTCTCTCTCTCCCTCCCTCCCTCCCTCCCTCCCTCCGCGCGTGCGCATGCAAAAACATTTTTCACATGAGAAAATGGTGGACTTTCACGTAGGAAAATGGTAAACTGCATCAACTCAAGTGATCTTATTTCACTGGGGCTTAGCGGTGAATTGCTGCTTCAGTGGCATTATTTGATAGTAGACATTATCTAAAAGTTTATTGCCTGGCGTTACTGCATTATTTTTTCTTCTGGTATTATATCAGTGACACTTTTTTCGGCATCTGGCAATCACGATACATATTCTTTCCCATCTCGAACTCACTTCTGTGCTTGATTTAGGTGTAAAACTCACCCATTGAGGGTATAATTTCCCATTCCTTTACTTGCACCCCGTAAATCTTGCTAAGATATACTTAATCTTATATACTAAAATTTTCAGATAAGTGTCTAAACTGCTAGACTTAACCCAAAACCATCTCTGGCGTTAATTATAAAATTTAACAGGCACTGTGATTATTGTTAACTAAAATAGTAGACATATTAGCTTCTTAAAGTTTTGTTGTGTTGTATTTTGAGGAAAGCATACTTAGTCATTTTGTTACTTAGTTTAGGTAAACCGGTAGTCAATTTTGCCCCAGTGAGATGCACTTCTAGATCTGTCCTGCAACTGTGCAGCTGCCAAGCTTATCGTTTACTTTAAGTAACTACGCAAGTACTTCTCTTTCAAGGAAGAAGGTATATCAAGGTTTAACTGATTACCATATGGTCATATCTGGTCATAGTTTATCCGACTTTGGTTTGCATCAAATGAGTAAATATTTGTCTCAACTTGATTTGCAATTTAAAGTCTTTTTTATGAGATAAAGATTGGTGAAGGTTTCTTATCCTCAGTGCAGGCTCAGTTGGCTTCTGAATGCCTTAAAGAACTTATACATTCTGAAGTGGAAGTAATTCGTGAGTCCAGTTATGCAGTATCTGGTGTACTAAGTTCAACCAATCCTGTTCTTACATCTCGTAGTGAAAACCTTCATGAGTTACTTGATGAAAGTCAAAAGCATGCCATCTATAAGTTTGATATACGGTATAATGTCAGTCACACCTTTCTTTTTCAGAAACATAACTTGAAGTATCAATATGAGTGTATATCAGATGCAATATTTAATACACGTGACTCAACTTTTATTGTATGGTAGATCATGCACATTCCTTGATGGCAATGGAGGAACTCATGAAGTTGATTTGGAAGTCATACAAACAACCAAGACAGATATCTTAGGTAAGGCACTCATGTAACCGGATAAAAACAGCTGTTTGGCATTGTATGCTTCTTCCTTCTTATGAGGAGCATAGCTTTCCTCCATATTAACCATCATTCTTTGTCGTGGTTGTAGCACCCTTTTCGGCCATGCTTGTTGATGGAATTAATCAAAGTGAATCAAGGCGAAGAGCACTTGTGCTTTTCTGTTTCACATACCTGAATGCACCTGTGAGCGTAAGTTCTTCTGATTGTATTGTATGGTTGCTGTAGATGGTACCTATTCTTTGAGTAAGACTGGAGACTGCATTGGTGAGCTGCCGCGGCGGCATATGAGTTGGGCTTCTCCCCATTTCCTTTGTACATAACTTAGTATTGGCTTCCTGGATGCACTTAAATATAATACTTGGACTATGAAATGTTATAGCTGGTCCTTCCTCCTTTGTCTTGTTTGTTGCTTGCTGAAGCTCTGCTTGTTCTCCAATTCCCCTGCAAAATGAGAAACAGGTATTTAGAAAAGAATGCATCAAATAGCTTACAAGTTAAAGACATCTTTTTTTTGGCTTCGACTTCTTTTGGCCAAACTTCAAAGACTCGTGTGAGTCTATTTTTTCGAAGTACTTTTGCTTTGTCATGTTCTGAAAATTAGCTTCTTGCAACTTCCAGCAAATTCATGGTTTAGATTATTGTATCGTCCTATGCTCTGGAGAGTCGCAAGTTTTGGGGCTATTGCATATATGGCATCATAGGTAGTAGATACAAAATAAGTGGTGGTTAACAAAAATGGACTGGTCATTTCAACAGTTTGAACTATTAACCAGTCTGATTTTGAAAGATTAAATAGTCTGTTATCAGGAACTGATTGGAGACTGATTCAATTCGTCAAAACAGGCAATTCAAATCAAGAGGAGCTCAATTTGGTTTCTTTTGAAAATGGTATTCTTATGTTGTGGGGACATTGGGTTTTGAATCAGGGACTTTGAGATTCATGACACACCATGCACAAACCACCAAGCCATGTATCACTTCTAATGTCACACATACAAATTTATATGAATAGTAATGCTTCAGGCAGGTCTGGTACCTTGAATAGGAGGCTCCTGCAACATAAAAGAATTGAGGAAATGGACATTTGTGTTTTAGGAGTATGCGTTTTGACTGTAGAAATGAAAAGAACTAACAATTAGTTCATTTAATGATTTTGACTATCAAACTTATGTAGGTTTCATTTCTTTCGAGGATAAACATGTATTACTGAGATAATTATGCAGCTCTTTCAAAGGATAAATTTATAGATTTCACAAAATCTTTTTCATGAAATATAACTCGGCCATTCATGATTTGATGATTGTCCTCTGGTTACCTTTTCCATTGACTGCTCCGTATTATCATTTCAAGGATGCATACATGCTGTCTCTGGATCAAAAGGGATTTGATATACTGGGTAAGGTCCCAGGTCCATCGCTGCAGGATGGTAGTCGGCAGTATCAATGGAGGGACTTTAGATTTTCCTTCAAGGAAGAGGCACTTGACATCGAATCCTTCTGCCGGCAGCTGGTGGAGATGGAGGAGGAGGCCATCAAGAAGGTTTCAACTTACAGTGGCCTTGGATGAGTTGGAATCGCCTGCTTAAGTGATAGACTGCAGCTATGAAAGGGTAATTTATATCCCTCAAAAATAGTCTCTGACCTTAAACTTTTCCATCTGTACGCACTTTTCTTAAACAGCTGGAAATCAGCTGCTGTGGTGAGTTTTTTTTTTGGGTCGAAGCTGTGGTGAGTTTATAAGATAGTAATATACCGAGGAAGATTGCAATATTGTTTGGGGCACTCTGGAGAAATCATTGCAATGTCATGCCTGTATTGCTGGAGTTCAGCTTGCCTGATGCAACTTTTTTTTTGTTTGAAAAGAAGAATTGATCTTCTTTCCACTTAGCTTCATTTCTACATTTTATGGAATTATCGAAAGATTGGACAAAGTCAACTGCACACCAATATATTGGACTTGCACTTATCTAGATTTTAGAGAAAATTTTCATTGAAGAAAGGAGATATCATCGCCGGTTTTGCAGGCATTTAGGCCCGATATTCCTCCTTGTGGAAATTAGCGATTGCATGGATAGGTACGGGAATGCACATCTTGATTTCCAGAGGCATGTGCAGTGGAAAGATTCACGGCCACAATGGCATGCATAGGCAGACACATGAGCATATGCATATAAGCATGCCTATAAGCGGAGGGGAAGGTATACCGATTTGTCTGTGACAGCAAGTTCTAAATGACTACTTTATACATGTGCATTTGTCCCAAACCTCTTACCCAAGTGAAATAGTTTGGCTATTTGTAACCTTGGCGCGACTTTACCATCAGCAAGTCTCTGTGAGTTGGTGTGTTTGGGTTAGGCCTGTGTGTACTCATTATTTCGATGCCACTTTTAACTCAACTATAGGAAAAAGACTGCTGACCACCATTTCGAGCTATAAGCTGTGAGCTGAGATTTACATTGTTCTTCATGTAGTCCGTCGCACAACTGGACTCATGATTTGTGCTCGAGCACGTAGCTGAATCAGTTTTCTGTATGGGATATAAATCTGCCCGTGCGAACACTACAAATTTCAAGAACTGGAGATTAGAACACTCAGAGCCATGGTGCAAGAACCTCTCTGATTGTCACTGAGGGTATCCAATCATGCAAACAACTCAGAATATCAATTCTCAGTTTTCTAATTCGTTCTTTCTGTTTGGCCAAATGGCTCTTGCTGTCAATTCCTCTTTAGCTTTATGTCGACTCCTTGCTCTGTCAATTTTCAACGCATCCCTGTGCTGGTGCCGGAACGAAGATGGCCAGATTGTGTGTGGACCAGTTTGTTAGGATTGTTGCGGGCAATGGCCACTTGGTCTTGTGTGGCCCAGTTGGAAGCTCTAAATAGCTCTTGTCGGCCCATGAAGAAGACCAAGCAAAGAGGAGGTGGAGGGGAGTCATTTTTGGTGCTGTTCACTAGAGTAAAAGGGAAAGAGATCCACTTTACTGATAAAACTAAGCAGTCTTACAAAAGGGAATTGCTAGTCAGACGGTCCTTAGAATATTAATATGGAATCTGTCCTAAGAATCTTCCCGAAATCATCACATGAGCAAGACTGAGGTAGATTTGTCTGCTTCTCAAGGTTCTTGATTTACAGATCTCCACATTGTTTTCTCACCCGCACGTGATCTAAGGCCGTAATGACAATTGCGCACAGAGAGAGAGGGAGAGAGATGGTATTGGTTTTAATATATTAAGTAAAAACGAGATTGTCATTACCCATTAGAGTACTGTTTTCTTCATGAGGTTGAGAAATGTGCATGCAATCCTTTTGCTCTGTACAGTATATCTTGAGAGAGGGAGAGAGAGAGAGGTGTGCAAAAGCTGCAAAGCCATGGCTCTTTTTTCTTTCCCCCACAATGTGAGACTGTGCACAAGAAGTAGGGTTGGCTTTGCTTTTTGCATGGAAATGAGTAAAAGACATGATATTCTGTCAAAGGTTGATTAGATAGGGAATTAGATTCCTACTCCACCAACCTTCAATTATTTCTTTTTTCTACTTATTATTCCCTAAGCGACAATGCATATTCAACTCCAGTTGATCCACAACAGTTGCATGCACGAGATGCCCTCTCGCAATTAATATAAACAATCGCGGACATTTATTTTGTTTGATTGGTGAGTTACGCATTATAGACATCACCACAAACAAACTTTGACGAAAGACTGTTAGAGAAAGTTTTTCCTAATCGGATTTCGACGAAAACATGACTAGAATAATTTTTCAACTTCTATAAGAGGTAAGCATATGTATAAACAGATATGTCTAAACACTCTAATATAATCAATAAATGAACCTATTACTCATTAAATATTTCATGTTTTCATGAGTTGGGCAATATGTGAGTCAAAACTGGAGCCAATGGCCAAAACATAAAATCGTTTGCATCTAATGATATGGAGGATCATATCTATATTGTGTGGCTAATTTGTCATGGTTTCTTAATCACAAAGTCATGCATCACGAATTTACGATTTTTCTCTGGTTATATATTTTAGGCATTTGATTTTAGCTATTTTGCCGCCTTCATGTAATTATAGGAGCCTGGAGCACGTTCACATGGGGAATCCCTTTTTCAAGAGGATTTGTGGTCTGTCGAGCCCTAGCAAGGTTCTTTGCTTTGCATCGATTTAAACCACCTGCTCCACTGTTAGTGCGGGCGCCCAATCAATTCTTTGAATTTTGTTTTCTCGAATGTACTCCCTAAGCAAAATACTTAGCGTGCTAGCTACAACGCTAACAAGAATACACATTTCTTCTTTTTGCCATAATTTAGGGGCACGAGCACAGAGACTTGATTATTTGAAGGTTCTTGAAAAGAAAGAATAAATAGACAAATGTCGATATGCCTAGCTATTGTGTAGCACTAAAAACAAAGAAGTTGTATGGCCTAATCTCGCTAATATCTCCTGATTCGTGTGGTTAGGGTTGGGAGACACTGATCCTTTTTAGAGTGTAATACTTTGTCAGTTCAAGCTAGTTGCTCATAGCATTAGCATGTAGACCCTAATGTAATTAAAATGGGAAGTGATACTTTTCCAATTAGTAAATACCACAATCATTGTTTCATTAATGAAGCCTAATAGAAACTGAAACGTCAAGAATGTCGCTGCGCTTTAACGTGTCTACTCAGTATAACAATCAAAGGGGTAAACATATGATTGTGATGGCCGGGGAGGCAAATTATATGATGTCTGATTCATTGTATTAAACTCTAGAAAAAAGGTTACATGCAAATCACAGAAAACATTCTCTAGTCTCGTAACTTTTCCACTTCTACCTCTGTCTCTAAACTACAAGTTTTTGAACTTGATTAGTACCCACAGAAAAATAAAAAAACGACTTTGAATGTAGAAAAATTTTCTTTTGGGAATTACTAAAAGGTTTCCAGTTTTTCTCACTTTACCACTTTACATCCTTTATTTTTGTGAAATTCCAATATAATCCTTTTGACCAATTATCATCGAAAATTGTTGATGTGACGATCCACAAGCTGTTTACGTTAGCATACCATACAAGATGGTCGGTGATGACCGGACACTACTTTAGCAATTTCTGTCGGTAATTGGTCGGAAGAACTATATTGGAATTTTGTGCAAAGGTTTAGGACTATATTGACAAAATTGAAAATTTTAAGACTGAATTAATATCCGTACAATAGGAAGAGGACTAATTGGGCAAGTACCTTTCTAGTCTTAGCCCTCTTTCTTCGGCCACCAAAATCAGCCGCCGCAACCTGTTGCCGGAGCCACCAACCACTCGTTGCCGCCTTCACCGCTATGGCCAAGGGTCGCTACCGCAACAGACCCACCTAGAGTCTCGTGCATCCAACTGTTCCCTACGTGCCCGGTGTCCATCTCTCTCTTGGCCGCCTCTCTCTCTCTCTCTCTCTCTCTCTCTCTCTCTCTCTCTCTATCTCTCTCGTGGCATGCCGTTGCACTTGGACGGCCCCTATCGAAGTCGCCTAGATCATCGTTGCTTGAGAGGATACATTTCATGAGATATGCACTTAATTAATAATCAAAATAATTGCTTCGAGATGCTAGCAAGGTAAAGATATGTTGCCAAATTAGAAGAGAAAATAGAAGGAGGGGAAATTAAGCTCGTACCAAATATTAAAACAGAGCAAGATTAGCCAAATAGCTCTACCAGTCAAACTAAGTGCTTGTGAATAATTCACTCAACTAAGTGTTAAACACATGAAAAAGATACCCACTAACTTAGACCAAAAGGCTTGACTAAAAAAAAAAACTTAGACCAATAGGCTAGCTAAATCGGAAAAGTGATCGTGACATTATCTCTCAAGAAGCATAGTTAAAGTTTAAACTCGATTATTACTCGGTGCAACTTTTCAGGACACAGACCATGAGGATGTAATATCTTAGTGAACGTCACAAAATCCATATGAATGGCTTACTTTTGATTGAATTGAAGAGGTAAACTTAGTATGGTGATAAAATTATGGATACACCACTTGACCAAAGATGCCCATAAAATTGGAAAATCTTCTTTTTCTTAGCATAGAATGGAGTCTTGATTTGATAAGCTTTTACTAGTTTTACAATAACATAAATGAAAGATACAACTGTTGCCTTGCAAAGCCACCGACAAAAAAAAAAAAAAACAAAGAGCGGTCGAAAAAAGTGCCATAACATTATTATATCATATAGCAAACCCTAACAAGCAAACTCACGAGTATGAAACATCAACTTGGGCGTGATTGATTGATTATTATTATCATCATGACCTAAATCTGTACCGTTGATTCCCTTATGTTGTCCTTGTTTAAACTTGTGGCGTGCTGATCCACCAATCAGAGCTTTAATCAGAGGCCAAGCGGGGTCCACGTACACTACACAGAGGGTGCGAGATATGTGAGATATGATAAAAAGGGCAAGAAAGGAAGCGAATCAAGTGTTTCACAACACGATGCCCTAACTTTCCAGAGCATAATTGGGCTGCAGCCACAGGATCGTGCACCCCCCATGCATCATGTTCATTACTATATTATTTATGTACTCTCGAAAATGGTGGTCCTCATGCACCTTTTTCGCCTTCACTTTCCCTTTGATGGGTTGTCCTTGTTCTTCGATTCTTCTTTTTTGAAATTAGAGATCTGCTCATCATTTGCATTATCAAAAAATCAAATAAAGCAATCCAAAAACTCTAGGGTTTTAGTCATCTGTCGCTGATGAAAAAAATGGTCTCGCGGAGAGAAAAGATCAAGAAGAGCTCAAGATTTTGGAGAAATCTTCTCGGTTCAACTTCAGAAATTACTTGTTTAAAGTTGTCTCATGTAAGGACCTATTTTCATTGTTTAAAAACCATGAACAGTTAGTTCTCTACAGGAATTTACGCGTCGTAATTGTTGTTATTATATATTTGAAGTAGTTCATATTGGAAGAATATAAAATCTCGTGGCTAAGTAAAATAAAGGTATGGTCCACTCGATGGTTTTAGTCATCTGTCGTTGATGAAAAATCAATCTCACACTGGAAAAGATAAAGAAGAGCTCAAGAATTATGAGAATTCTTTGGTTCAACCGAAAATAATTACTTATTTAAGGTTTTGCCAAAATAAAAAACTCTTTCAATCTTTTTAAAGATCATGAAAAAAATTCCAAGTATTCCATAGTAAACTAAACAATTCCAATAACTAATCAAAATGCGGAAATACCAAAAACATACATGAGCTTTCATCTAGATAGCACTCATTTACCTCTATTTTTTAAAGTACATGTTTGCACACTCACTTTAGCAACATTGTCCACTTATTTGCAATTTTGTCATTTCCCTTTCCAAAAATACCCTCACCATTCTCTCTCCCAAACACACAACTACACCCCCCCTCTCTCTCTCTCACGCCCGGCCCCCCGGCATCGATCTCTGGGTTCGGGGCCGTGGCTGCCGGAGCTTGAGCTTGCAGCCACAGCCACTCGAGCCCACGTCGTGCCATGGCTTCTAGAGCTTGGAGCTCAAGCTTGTGGCAAATTGTCATTGGAGCTCGAGGTCAGGCACGACCATGGCTGCTCGAGCTTTGAACTTCAGCCTTAGTCACCAAATTTGGTATCTTCTACATCGAGAAGTGAGGGGAGGGCGATAGTGACGGGGTGGAGGGGAGTCGGCGGTGGTGGTGACTCGGACGGCAGTGTATGTTGTTAGGGAGATGGGGGTTTGTGGGTGATGCACAGAGTTTACGGCAGAGTTCGAGGGTTTGAAGATTTAAAAGGAAAGGGAAGATTTGGTCTTTTCAGAGTAGGGCTTTATCTAGCAATAATAGTAAAATGATATTTTGAAAAACAGAGGTATGAAAGTCGTGTTTGTGTGAAAGGTGAGGTATGTTTTGGATATTTTTTTTTTCGGATGAGAACCTTAAGAAAGTATTAATCAGTTCGAACGCAAGAACAAGCATGGTTTCGGAACTTCAGACTTGCAAGGTCTCATTTTCAGGCCATATTATCTTCTAACAATAGTCGACGGTAGTCAGAGGGGTCGACGGCCGCTGCGATAGATCGATGGCAACGACACTGAGCAAAGCTTGGTAGACGGCGAGTGAGCTAAGCTAGGAAGGGGTAGCTAGATAGAGAAGAGAAACT